GGATCCCGAGCGACCCCCTCGTCTATGCCTTCTGTTGACATCGGAGAAGGCTATGCTCTCTTGCACAAGCGGTCCAAATGCGAGTGGATCCCTGTTGGTGTCCCAAAGGCCGTGCTGGACAACTGGTTGGGGTGCGACTGCGGCAGTATCTGGATGTGGGGGTGCGTAGGCTTTCTGATGGTCAAGTCATACAATCTGCATGGCGCGAGAACACTTACTTGCAGGACAACATTTGGATCTCTCGCAATGTCAAGGTATATTTCATCTGTTTTTGTGCTTAATTCACGCTTTATAGTTGCATAGATCGCAGAGGAGGGTCGTACATATATTGGAAAAGTCCAGTATTTTGCCCAGCTCGACGTGCAGGATGAGGTGACGGGAGAATTGAGATGGGAAGGGGTTGCAGTGGTCGAGCTCTACTCGGAGCCAGACCCTGACCTCCTTACTCTGTCCTCTCATTTGTTCGCAATGTGCAAGCATATGGGTCCTGAATATACTCATGTCATTAGCATCAAGCAAATTACCGACATTGTCGGGATGGTCCCACATCGACCGACTTTGCTCTCGGGAGTGGAAGAGGATCACTTTTTTATGGCCGAAAAACCCGGGCTGGACGTGGCTACATTTCTCGGACATGAAGATGAGGATGAGCAGGACGAGGACGGCATGGACTTTCCTCCAAATGCTGTATAGTAGTATGTTATACATATGTTTTATTCAATAAACAGTCTCCAAAATGCACCTGTGGCTCTCGGCCACCGAGACGAAGCTTTAGAGTTTCATTAACTAAGCGGGGTTTGAATTCCCCGAGGCGCGGCCCTGCATCGCCTCCCCAACGCCTGGTTCCGAGCGTGTCATCGGAGCCTAAATTAACCAATCCCCGCTTGATTTGGTAAGCCCCTGTCAATTGACAGGATTTTGTGCATCCGTCACATCCTTTCCCTTCCTCCCATCCTTTCTTCTCCCCCAACCATGTCCTCTCCAATCCCTCCAATCCACCAGTACTCCTCTTCTATCGAAGACCCCTCCCTGGATCACACAATGAGCACGCCAGATGACTTATTCAATGCATATCTCCAAGCTCACTACCAAGGCCCGGGAACAAACCACCATGGCCCAGGAACAAACTATCTAAACCCGGAAACAGCGCTACCCACCTTCAACACCTTTCGAACACAGCACGTCAACAGCATGGGCCACTCTCAAAGCCGTCGAAAACTGGTCGTTAACAACACAGTAAGTCATTTTCAACACCTTTTTAGTTGCTAACTTTGTTTTAGGATGCATTTATGCACTCGCATCCACAGATGCAGGTGCAGCCTCAAGAGACGGCCATTAGCCATGCGCACGCACCTTTTGCTAGCGCAACGGCACAGCAAGAATCCTTTGTCGATGCTGTGAACACGCAATTGTGAGTTTTGTCATTTATATATGTGCATATATTCACACTTTATACTTTCTAGTCATCTAGTTGCTACTAGCCCGGTCGTATCTGTCGCGACCTTGACATCCACCTCTTCCTCATCGCCCCCTCAGTCCGTCCCCGCCTTCCTTCCCTACGCATCAGCAATCTGCGCTCAGTACCCCAAGGTCAACCACTGGACGTGGTACAACTACTTGTTGAAGTGCAAGGAGGCCAGATTGACTACAAGGATGCGGGGATCGTATGGCTATCTCAAGCTCGAGGACAGGACCATGCTGAATGACTCAACTCGCAAAGTGCTCAACCGAGAAATGAGGAGGATGTGGTGAGGATGGGCCTCATCTCCGCGCATGGGGTATGAGTTGGTCTTGACATGGAAACTGCTGCCGCGACAGCAACATACTGACTTCGTCAACGACATCGTGGCACTTTTCCCCTTCATGGGGCTCTGTTACGGCACGTGGAAGATCAACAAGGTTGCGATCTCCATATACCCCAACTGGCGACAAACCTGGATCACCTCAAATAACAAACTACGCCCCAAGAGCAGACACACTCCTGCAAAGAACCCTCGCGTGAAGAAGCAGGATCCCAACGACGCAACAGTCTCGCTTGGGATGAAGCGCAACGTGTCTGAAGGCGCAGACGATGGCAGCAACGCCGGAGCTTCGTTCTTGAAGAAACCTAAAGGTAAACTTTCTCTCCATTATCTGCACATATATTAACATTTCTCTTTTATCTAGCGGGTGTATCTAAGGTGTTGAGCCCTGCTCGTGAGGACGATGGTGATGGTGACGCGCTCAACATGACGTTCGTGCTGTCTTTGCCTCCGCCGCCACCTCCCCGTTCCCCATTGTGCCCTCCTTCCAGCGCTGTGGTAGCCTTGAACGACCAGGAGGAGGCAATAGATACACTTCGCCTGGCAGCCACCAAACCGCTGCCACAGACGAAGAAGTTCGTCTTGCCGAGGTAACGTTTTTGTATTCATCATTTCTATATACTGATCTTTTTTTCGTACAGACCTATCCCCACCAACCTTGCCAAGGAGGCACTCAAAAGGGTGGAGCTCGCGAAGCTGAAGGACGACCCTCCTGCCAATGCTGGCGCTCAGCCGCTGCCCGAGGAGACTGGGAGCTCCTTGCTCATCGAGCAGGATGCTTCTCCTGTCCCGAACATTGGAGAAGTTGCTCCCTCGGGTGTTCCTTCCTCCGAAGACGCTGCTGCCCCTTGCGGCGTGGCTCCTCTTGATACCCAGTCCCCCAACCCTGTTCCTCAGGTCAATACTAAGGCGCCAGCATTTCCAGCACCGGCGGAAGCCTTGTTTCAGCTGGGCAACAAAAAGATTGGAAAGTAAGTAACGTGTTATCATTTGTATAGTTCTAACCATTTCCCCTAGGAGTCTCTGTGCCTACCGCTGGCTCGCGGACGTATCCATTCCTGCAGAAAATAAGACCAGAGAGGCCTTCAATCCCTACTGGATGAAGGAATTGTCCGTCAAACAGAGAGATGTGAGTCTTATTTCTGTTCGTCAGCCACTTTCTAACCTATGTTCTAGTGCTATAACCACGAGGCCAAACACGTGGTAAGTCGATCCATTCATTCATTCGCAATGCTAACACTGCATTCCTACAGAAAGACGACACTAAATGGAACCCAACGGATGCCGCGTTTCTCAACGGTCCCCGCTACTAATCTCGTCACCGTTTGTTCGCTGCACGCTCTCTGGCGTGGTTTTCTTGGTCATCGTGTTTCTTGACACGCCCTTTTGACCCCCATCGCCGTATGATACCCTTATTATGGACTATTTTGTGTTCTGGATGATAGTAGCCATGTATATGACAATGTACCCCTATGTTGCAATGTATATTTCACTAGATGCTGATATAATGCATGTTTTGATCCCGCGCCGATCCATCCGATTAAGCTATACAACACTAGATTAGACTAATTGTGATTGGACTGCCTGCTCCAGCCACAGAGCTCTCTAGATCGAGTGAAATGTGGGCGTAACTGATTCTCACTGTAGTTTAATCTAGAATTGTACCATTTTTCATTGAGATCTAGTCTTAGCTAGTTTTCTGGGAAAAACAGACTTGACTATATATTACAATACCCGACTATACCTGACTAGATATAAACAGAAATAGACTAGATCTCGCTCGTTCCGAGCTAGACCACTTCTTACTGGGCCTGAGAGGTGTTGACACTGAAGATAACATCAATGCTAAGGAGGGGCTGGATGAATCACCAACCAAAGTATTGTTGACATCCATGCCAGAGATGTTGGAGGATGGAAGCACTGATGGTGTTGTAATAGGCTCAGTCACAGTCTTGGTGGCTTGTTGTTGGTGCTTGGTTGTGCACTCGGTTTCCCACTGCTCAAACTCCTGATCCGACATCTTTTGGAAGAATGTGGTGTCTGCCGGCCACAAGTTGTGAAGGGTGATGAGGTCATGGTTGGCACTGAATTCTGTAGGGCTGCAGAACTGGCTCAAAGGCCAGTGCTCAACAATGATCCCATACTTTGCAGTGATATGGTCATTGAAGTTGACATAGTACATACAAGGGGATTTGAAGGGAGCTGCCACTGCCATTGAAGAGAAGGTCAGCAGGGCAACAAATCAATAGAGCAAGAACATGTACCAAGTTTAGCATAGATCAGCTGTCCAACAGCGGTTTTCTTCTCTGCCATAAGTTTTCCCTTTGTCTTAGCAAGACCTGAGATGTACGGATGTCAGTACAACCATCAAGAAAAAAAAAGGTTCACCTCAAACACCCGAAACACAATACCCTTCAAACTGCATTGCAAGGTCTTCAATGGACACACCAAAGGCCAAGTCAATGAAGTCCTTGGCCTGCGGAGTCCTGAAGGCAACAGGCTGGTTGTACTGGCTGACATTGCCACAACAGACAATCATAATGATCAGATTGCTAGTCCAAGCATGTAAGCGTTGGAACTGCGGAATGTTAGTAAGCATTGTGAACACCAGTGCAAAGTACCTACCTCAGTTTGAATACTCTTGAGAGTCTTGTTAGTGTCCTGAAATGATGACAGCATGACATTGTGAGGAGAGAACACCTTGTCTTCATGTGCATCATTAAAGGCTTCAGTGAGGGGGTTGGTAGCAGCAACCTTCTCTGCTTCACTAAGCTTAGTCCAGTTTGCCGTGATGAGGGGGGAGAGCTTGGTCACCACTTTATGCCTCTTGCCGGTTGGAACATCTGTTGACTGAGGGTTAGTTGTGTGCTCGCAAGGGAACAGAGCATGTCTTACTGGCATTCATGCACTTGATCTCTGCCCACTGATAGATGCTCCAATGGGAGAAGGTGCACTTTAAGCTCTTAAGCCGAGAGAACTGTAAAATTTCACGTTGGTAGTATGCAAGCTTGTGCTTACCAAACCTCTGGTGGAGGTCCTTGGCCATGGATTTGACACCCTCCCTGCACTCTCTCAGCACAGCATGCTATTTGGTGTGGTCTTTTTTGCGGTGGGCCTTGAGGAGCTGCTTTTGAGCAGGTGTTAGAGTATACCAGGGTTTTGCGCAGTACCACCAGCTCCATTGTGGAGCTTGGATTGTTGTTTTGCATATGGTGGCCAGATGGTGTCGGATGGCAAGAGGTAGGGGAGGGGCATGGATGGTAGGCATGACTGACCTTGGTGTGGAGCAAAAACTTTGCACATGGCCTTTTAACCCACTTGCAGGGTCAACACCATCAACAAACAAACAGACACATTGTTGATGCATTGTATGCACAAGGGCCAGGCAACCAGCTATCTTATTGCATTGTAAAAACTGATTAATAGGAATTATAATACTCATCTATGCTGTTGTTGATTATTGCCCACAAGAAATGCGCCTCCAGCACAGCCATCCGGCATGCAGCAAGGTAGGACATGAACCACTTTGCTGATAAAATATTATCATATGCATGTTTGATGTGTAGGATGGCTGTGACCATATACCCATGCAAGATAAGGTACAAGTTGGCAAGCTCCCCCCAGCTTGGGACAGGGGAACCATTGTACACAGGCCCAGCCACCGACTTGTAGGTACCATCAAGTTTGCAAATATGTTGATATACGGGTGCCTCATTGTCAAAAACACAAGGAGACAACCTCCACACAATCAATGACCCGGTCTGGGGAGGGGAGAGCCTGTAACAAGATAGGAGAGGAGTGAGAGGCACAGCAGGAGCATGAGTACTCAAAGTGCTCCACTTTGCAACACTCGCAGTGGAAGCCGTGAGCGAAGTCAGGGAAGAATTGGTGAGGGAAGCAAGAGAAAGCAGCAGGGAAGAAGGGCACTTATGGGACCGGTGAGATGTTAAATGACAATGAGCTAGATGACATTAGACATGAAGCAATAATGGTTGTTCATGAAAAAACACCTTTGCTGTGAGATGATAGAGTAGTTGAGCAAGAGTGGGATGAACGTGTTGAAGTGGGCATGGACGGTTTGACATTCATCTCTTTTACCTTTCCCTTCTCCTTTGCTTGGACCCTCCCCTCCCCCTCCTCGTATGCCGCCTTGGAGCTCACCAGGGGAGTTGATGGGATGTCTTAATTAGAGGCGATGGCACCGTACAGTTCTTTGGTATTGAATGCTGGAGAGGTGTTGATAGCAGTGCCAATGCCATGGGCTTTGGTAAGGAGCCATTCAACAGCTTTATTGAAGAACTTGAAGCCCTTGAAGATCCTGCCATCATACCTATGGACCTCCGAGTTGCACTTGTTCCTGTCAGTAATTAGAACAAAGGTGAATCTATAGATAGAAAAATGCCACACATCAGTTAAGGTATATCCCAGGGTGACAACCAAAAACAACAACATAGAACTTGGGGATGTGGGGCTTAAGGACAATGATAGTGTCATACAAAACCAAAAAGGAATGGGTGATGTCAATTGGAGTTGTGCTGGCAATACCGGTACTGCTCAAGACGTTGACACAGGTCTGATGCAGTACCTGAGCATCAGACCTGTTGCTGACCTGGATCATAAAGGGGGAGAGGCGGGGTCTGGTATGTGGCATTGAAGCATGGCCTGACAAACAGTGTCATGTCAGTGATGCTAAACATGTAATGATGACTCACTCTAAGTTACAAATGCCAGGATCATTACTGTCAGCAACAACTCAGCACATACCAGGGTTTGGAGGACCAAGGGTGAGCATGGTAGTTGGGATAGAGCTTTCAGCACCTTCACAAACACTTGAGCCAGGTTTACCCTGGTATGTTCCTCTGCTACCTCAACAAAGTCGAGGAGCATAGACAGGGGCTTTCCATCATGGACAAGGTGCACAGCAAAAGCAACAAAAGCTTTGTGGTTTGGTGATGTCCACACATCTGTTGTGAAGGAGAGTTCTCCATTGTGCATCTACATTTGACCATTAATGAGCAAACAGATAATGACCATAACAGTAACCTTACCTGGAGGATGTGGACAACACAAGATTGAGTGCAGGCGAAGATGTTGCAAGTGTCCTGTGAGAATGTACTCAGTGAAGGAATGTAGTGCTCTGGCCAGCCAGTTTTCATGAGCATTAGGAAGCTACAGTCTGCAACCACTGCAAACGGTCGCAGACTCTCAGCCACCCAGTGTACAATTTCAGCCCTAAACTATGTCAAATTTTCAGCTGTCAATACTCAACAAACATTACTGACCTAGTCTCAGTCCGCATGTGGGGTGTGTTTGAGTATGTAACCTTTCCTCTCCTTGTTTGCTCAAAAACAGCAGTGATACTGCCAGTTGAAAGTACAGCTTTTGATGACTGATTCATGCACATCAGATACCGACTTGTAGTCCACAGCCATATTGTAAGTGTCCTGGCCCCAGCAGTGTTTCACATGCTTTGTCATGTTGTGTCAACACTGTGTCTGCCCAGGAAGAACTGGGATGTTTGAGCTATGCTCCACTAGGAATACCATGTCCCGAAGATGCTAGCAAAGGTACGAAAAAGTATGGAGATGGACCAGAGGTGAACTGGAGATAGCAAAGGTAAAGGAGATGCATGTAGAAGCAAGGAGAAGTTGCTAAGTACGGTGGAGTATGATGGAGATGACAAGTTGATCACAAGTTGATTTGGAGTATAATTTGGATAGAGACAACAAACATGAAAGAATGTCAAGGGCCACAGGAATGTTGGGGTAGGAGTAAATCAATCTTCATATTATCAAATACAAGTTGAATGCTACCACTATTTGTATTGTAAGTCCGGATCTTTGGATAAGCTCTGTATAGCTACTGGAGTAAGTGTGGAGTATCATGAGTAATCACCGAAGAAGACCAAAGGTCAAAAGAATACAAAACATGATAGGCGTGACTGCGGAATAATGACAGGTGTAAAGTAATGACAGATAGAATGTGGGATGAGTTGGTCACAGGATAATATGCTGACTGATACAAAAGGTGCATGGACGTGACATAGATGCTGAATAGCTTCACTTCGCACATGTCCAAACTGTTGGTGAACAATTGTGTAGTCAGTTGTGCTGACGGCCGCAAGGGCCCAAGGTTTTGAGCCCTTGTACACCCAGAGCCTATAGAGTGTATTGTTTGTAATTCTCTGTGGACAGTAGAGGATTTCCTCACAATCACTGCTTGAAACTACTGCAGCATGCTTTTTCATTTTGATCTGTAAGCCTTTGCTTAGGAGATGACCAGCAGATAGTAATTGAGAGGTAAAACCAGCTACATAGTAGATAAGATATAGACGAGTTGTAGTGCTATTGCCTGCTGAATTGTTGTGTTCTGTCAAAAACGCCTCCTGCTAGTCCTAACTTGGATGAACCACGCATTATTTATTGCATTTGTTTTTGACATGGCCAGGCTTTGGCCTTATCTATTACATAAGCAGGCATGTGACCAAGCACATATGATGCAAGGATCATGCAATATGGTGTGCTTGTATTACTAAGAGTATTCCTAATTAGGCAGGAACCCTACCTTTAGTTACATGGTCTGTGGGCAGCTGCCCAGTAGTATATAAGACTGCAATTTGATGACCCAGAACTCCAAGAGAGTTCATTTGGGATTTCCCCTTAGCTCTGTTCGTAAACCTAAGTCTCAAGTCCTCTCGTCAAGGCATCTACTTCTGCCCAAGCCCCATCTAGGGTTAGGGTTAGTCTCTATCACTCATCATTATTCCTTGTTTGTGTGTACAGTGACTCCCCTAGTTAAGGGTCGCTCACATGTTCAAGTAGAACAGTGCTGACAGCTTGTATCTCAGCTTTCCCTTGCAGTGACTTGACTTCTGTGCATTCATTCTTAAGGATTATATGGTACATTGCAAAGTCATCTAGGCTGCAGGTGAAGTGTTTGCTAACACCAGAGTCAACGGTCAAAAAGGCCCAACCCAATTGATTATTGTCACAATCACACTTTGTGCAGTATGCAGTCAAGTCACATTCATTATATTGTACATGATTTACAACATCTTGTGCAGTTACTACTTTACTGTGTACAACTACATAATGTCCAATATCATACTGTGACAATTTGTGAGGACCAGTTTGCAATGAGTGATAAGGGATGTACTAATCAATTCTCATCCTTCCTGTCTGCTATGCAGACATCGTTGTCATTGCTTATGATGATCTTGGCCTTCCACACCTTGGGCCCTGACCCCTGGAGTCTCTGCTTTGGAAGATCCTTTTGACTCTTGAGGGTAGCCATCTTGTTGCCATGACATTTTGCTGTGCTGCCTCAAGGTTGTTCAGTGCTGACTGGAATTTGGTCATCAGGCACTGGTGTTCCAAGGGAGACAGTATCCTTGTTGAGTTTCTGAGTGTTGGGCCATTGGGCCTGCTTGATTGGACTTGGGCAAACAATGCCCTTGTCCTGTTGAGCGGTGTTGCCCTTGTGGGTCCATCCTGGAGATGGTTTGCCAATATCGTGTGATTGTCCCTCAGGGTGCCATTCTCCATGCGTAGAGCCAGCCAGAATGGCCTGTGCGGGTTGGTCATGGGTTCAAGATTCTCCAAAGGAGACCTTTGGCGTTGGGCAGCGTTAAACAACATCATCTGCAATCTGAACGCATATTCATTTTGTTGGCAGTCAATCATCTGTTGTTTCAACTCCCCCATCCCCGCTCGTTCTTTGCTTCAAAGATGTTTAAGCATTTACATGTACTGGCACAACTCCTTGAGGTTGAGGTCCCGCATTTGATATGGCGCTCCCTCCAATTTGTGTGACCACCTGATCTGCTCCTGCATCTGTGTGCGGTTCAGGTACCTCCACCTGCCTTGGTACACTCCTATTGGCCTGAGTCATGGACTCCTGTCTGGTGCTGTTGTCTGTTTGCCTTGTCTGGGACTTGGGGTGTAGGTGGGGTGTAGGACGGAGGTGGTTGGTTGGGCAAATGAGTCAAAGGCTTGGTTGACGCATTCACAAAGGTCATTGGCAGCAGGCTCAGTCCGTCGGAGCAAACATCTGACATGTTCAGCTGCTTGACAACAGGCTGTTACTGGGTCGGAGGAGCAGCATTCTCCATCTGGGGAGGTTGCTCAACCTTGTCCATCAATGGGGATGGCTGCTGTGGGTTGTAATTGTAACAGCTAAACTGTTACTCACCAAACTACTGAGGGGGCTTGAGGAGGGATAAGTGATATGAGATATAAATGATGAGTAGTGAGCTTAGAGAGCTGGATGAGAGTGGTAATCTCAAGTATAACAAGTGGATTAGACTGGAGAGTATGCTCCAGGATATGCCTCCTTAAATACAAATACAGATCTATGATATCATGCTGTGTCAGCCCTAGACTATTTAGAATGATGACTGTACAGTATTTGGTTCAACCAATGGCAATGGCCCTATAACTAATGTCTGACTAAAGGTGTGCCTTGATTGCTAAAAGATTGGTAAGGTGTGCCTGTAATACTGACTAAGGAGATCATGTGCAGTACCAGCTGATACTACAAACCATGTAGAACTACTGATCAACTATCTACTGATCAACTATGATAAGAGTTCAGGCCTTATCAGCTGACAATCTATGGAGATCTAGGCTTGATCAGCTATTGATCTATGAGATCATAGGTGCTTCTATGCCAAGTACATAGTTATTCCTGCATGACAAATCCTCCATGGTAACTCCTGGGTTTATCCATATGTCCAGATTAACATAACTTCGAGATATGATAAGATGGACAGAGATAAGGATGCTTTAGGGGTTGATTTACCATAGATAGGTGTTCTCCCATGTCCTATGTTGTATCCCTTGTATCCCCTTGTACTGGTGGTGTGCAACTGTGCAATAAATGCAGGAAAATAGTAAAAATACTGAATTTGTGACAGTAACCACCCTGGTGTTGCTGGCACATGTCCATCCAGCAGTCCTGGCACAACACCAGCCCCCAATTGCTTGGGTACCAATTGACGTCCCCAGCTTGTGCTGCACGCTCCAGAGGGTGAGTGATCCCTGGAGGGCCCATTGCCCCTTGCTGAGCTAGGCATCCAAGCTATTGCCCGATGGCCTGTGCCCTGGCTACTGGGGCCAGGAGCACAAACAAGCTGTTCTTGATGGTGTTCAGGAGATTGCCATTCAGGTGTCAGACCGTCAGATACTGGTGTCCAGTGGTCAAATTCTCCGACAGCGCCAAGTGAGGGGCTACATCACCTGCTTCAATGATCTGCTCAACTTGGGGAGCGGGAGCATTGTTGTGTTGGGCTGTCTGCTCACCTGCACTCTGGCGGGTCCAGGCTGGCCTTTCAGCTGCTAGTGCCATGTTCTCACCTTTGTCTATCTTGGACTCTGACAGAGTCCAGGATTCCTGAAGGTACTCTGGGATCCTTGAAGGAGATGTTGGTGGTGCTGAGGCTGGGTGTTGCACCGGACTTGTTACATCCCATTTGACCATGTTTTTCACCTTGATCAGCTCGAGATCCCGCATCTGACTGACAGGGATCCGGAGTGGCGTAGGGGTTATGTCGCAAAACCTAAAAACAGATTGGCATCGCTTGCAATCAGTTCCAATAACTGAATTGGTCTCGGCACTTGCGATTACGTTGCAGTTGTCACCAAGCTTTGCAACCACGTTCGAAGCGAAGTCTAGCTATTGAATTGATAGAGTCCCTGATTGAAATGTCATTGGGACAGACAGCGCGGCATTGCAATTTAGTTGAAGCAACAATGCCACTGTTGTTGCAATGTTAGTGGGACCAGTGATCTAGTACTAACCTTACATTACAATCGCATTTGAGATTGGTATACTAAATTGAAATTAGATTGAGACTACATTGTGGTCATTTCTGTTACCTATTGCAAGGTGATTGCGATGTGAGCCAGGTGTTGCAAAGGTCATAAAACATCGTAATTCAATGCACGAGTCACTTCAGTCACCCCCAAAATGGGGGTCCAATAGGCTAATTATTGGCACAAAATATTATCCTACTAGGCCCCTAAATCATGGTATTACCAACATTTTCTGGTACTGATCCTTGGCTGTGGAATTAGAGTCAAGGTGATTGTGGAAGTTTCCAGGTGCCAGGGGTCCTGGGCTTTTGTATAATACCATCAATGAGAATAAATGGTAACACAATAATACCAGAAAAGGTAGTACCACAATCAATTCATATATCCAACTAAATACCATCCAGACTGTTTTATCAACCCGTCTACTCTAACCAAAAAGTATTTAGATGACATTGTTTTACCTTGGTATATCTCATGGAATTGTCCAAAAAGGTAGTTCATACTGCAGTATATGTGCTTGGCATTGTTCAACCTCTACACCAGTGAAAATCAAATTTGAGTAGCTTTGATGGAA